GGGCGCCCATCTGTTCTTACGGGTGCCCTGCCCCACTGAACTTTGCCACCTGGTTTACCACTCCTCTCTGGGTCACGCCTCAATACTCCCTTGTGTGAAGACATGAACTTCTGTTCTCGCCACCTCTCCTAACATCAGCACAAGTTTGAAGCAGGCCAGAGGTTCAGGTGCACATTTCTCCAAAGATAGGACAGGAAAAGGTGCTCACAGCCTCCGTCATTAGAAAAACACAAATCAAAACCAACATGAGATACCGCCTCCCAAATAGTAGGATGGATAGAATAAACACGGCAAAATAAATTGCTCCTGGGAACGTAAAATGGTTCTGAAAAACAGCTGGAGGGCCAAGCACTGTGGCCTAGCAGCTTAAGTCCTCACCTTGAGCGCACCAGGATCCCATTAGGACGCCGGTTCTAATCCCAGCAGCCCTGTTTCCCATCCAGCTCCTTACTTGTGGCCTCAGAAAAGCAGTCAAGGACGGCCCAAGGCCTTGGGACCCTGCATCCACGTGGGAAACCCAGATGAAACTGCTGGCTCCTAGTTTTGGATTGGCTCAGCACTGACAGTTGCTGCTCCTTAGGGAATGAATCAACGGACAGATCTTCCTCTCTGTATCTCCTCCTCTTTGTATGTTTGACTTTCCAATAAAAATAAAATAAATCTTAATTTTAAAATACTGAGAATGAAATAACTTTAAAAGTGATAAAACCTCAAATGTTTTTTTGATATTTCAAAAACAATCCTGAGACATAAGGGGGTGGGGAACTTTTTTTCTGCCAAGGGCCATTTGGATGTTTACAGTATCACCTGCAGGTCATAGAAAATGAGCAATTTAGAGATCAGCCTGCTGTGCAAGATTTATTGAACTCAAATCCCTCCTGTGGTGGCCTGGGCAGCCCTGGGCTGAAGTCTTAGGTGTCGTATGATGCCATCGGATCATTTTGTGGGAAGACTTAGCCCCTGAAACCAGAAACGAAGTCAGAGCTACAGACTCTGCTGTCGCCCAGCTCCTCTCTGCCACGCCTCTGTCTTGGCCCAGGGCAGCACCTGCCGCGGAGCTAGAGCCTTCCTCCTTGCTATTGCTACTTTCTTTGGCCAGCGTCCCTGCGAGGAGGGACGGTCCCCTGGGACATCACCACCTCCCAGCCCCAGTCACGCAGTGCCCGCCCACGGAGGGCCCCACCCACCCAACTGTTCCTTCTCCCACTTGTGCCCCTCCCCTACTTCCTCAGGGCCCAGGAATCGCCTCTCTGCAACGTTATCTGCTCCCTGGGGAAGTCTAGAGTTCAGGGCCCAGGGCCATTAAACCCAATGTCTCTCACTGGGCTAGAGAGGAATGACCCAGGGGACGTTCTGCACCAGCGCTTGGAGGAGGCTGAGTCAGCCTGTGCCTGCCAGGGAGGGGCTGGGCTATTGACCCTCTGGGAGGCAGTGCCCCTGCCTTCCTCCTCCTGCCCTTACCTCCACCTGAGGGGTCATCAACCCCCCAAACTCTCCTCACATCTAGCCCCTAGAGGAGGATTCCACTGGATCCTGACGGGACACTGGAGCAGGAGGCGGGAGTTCTGGTGGTCCTGGAACTGTCTCCTCTGCTTGCATCCACTCCGCAGTTCCAGAGGGTCCCCCTTAGGGGCCGGGGTCTCACCATCTCAAGTCTTCACCCGAATCTACCACAGCCCTCTCTCAAGTTCCTATGTCTCTCTACATATTCCCACAACTCTCTAACTAGTTTTGTAACCATCTAGGCTCCATTTTTTTATCTGTGAAATGGGAGTACAGAGGGCCCTTCACTTGAGAGCGGTTGTGAATTTAAATGAGATAAGGAACAGCTTGCACTTCCATGATGTTTGTGCACAAAAGCATTCACTGCTGCCCTGGCTTGGATTTTCCCATCTCAGTGTCAGGAAGACAAATTCCAATAAGCATATGGCATGTGTCCGCCTCCCCGCCTGGAATTTGTGAGTGCTGTAGTACAAGATCCCATTTGTCTGGCCAGCGTAATGATTCAGTGGCTAAATCCTCACCTTGAACGTGCCAGAATCCCACATGGGCACTGGTTCATGTCCCGGCTGCTCTACTTCCCGTCCAGCTCCCTGCTTGTGGCCTGGGAAAGCAGTAGAGGACGGCCCAAAGCCTTGGGACCCTGCATGCGTGTAGAGACCCAGACGAAGTTTCTGGCTCTAGCTTTGATTCAGTCCAGCTTTGGCCATTGTGAACCTTTGGGCAATCAATTTGAGGGCAGAAGATCTCTCTCTTTCTGTCTTTTCTATGTCACTCTTTCAAATAAAAGTAAAATAAATCATTTAAAACTACATTTGGTTGGGCTTGGCACAGTAGCTTTTTAAGTAAAATAAATAGTTATTGATTTTCTTTTTTGTTTCTTCAGTGACACGTTAGTCATTTAGTAGCATGTCATTTAACTTCATGGCATTGTAAATTTCTATTTTTCTTCCTGTTGTTGATTTTGTATTGTGGTTTTTCATATAAGGGGATGTATAGTAATTGTGTAATGGAGATTATCATATCCAGATGTGAGGATACAATGTAGTATGCATGTCTACTTCCAGACAAAGATGGACTCCCAATGAAACTGTTTACCATATCTTTTTTTCTAGAAGATGTATTTATTTTTATTGGAAACGCAGATATATGGAGAGGAGGAGATACAGAGAGGAAGGTCTTCCAACCAATGGTTCACTCCCTAAGTGAGCGCAATGGCTGAAGCTGAGCCAATCTGAAGCCAGGAGCCAGGAGCTCTTCCGGGTCTCCCATGCGGGTACAGGGTCCCAAGGCTTTGGGTCATGCTCAACTGCTTTCCCAGACCACAAGCAGGGAGCTGGGTGGAAAGGGGGGCCACCTGGATTAGAACCAGCAACCATATGGGATCCCGAGTGTGCAAGGCGAGGACTTTAACCACTATGCTATCGTGCCGGGTCCTGTTTACCATATCTTGACAATAGGATGCTGGACTCTGTTGTTGTCCATGCTGGAAATGATGGACATATGACTGTGTAGGGAGAACTATACTATAGTAATGATACAGGGGAACTCAGTGAGGGTAGAGGGAATTGGGGAGGGGATAAGGGAAATCCCAGGGCCTATGGAACTGTATCATGTAATGATAATAATAAAAAGAAGTTTAAAAATAATTAAAATAAAGAAATTAATATTTTTAAAAGAAGAAGAAGGCCTGGTGCAGTAGCCTAGTTGTTGAAGTCCTCACCTTGCATGCACCAGGATCCCATATGGGTGCCAACCGGTTCATGTCCTGGTGGCCCTGTTTCCCATCCAGCCACTTGCCTGTGACCTGGGAAATCAGTCGAGAATGGTTCATATCCTTGGAACTCTGCACCCACGTGGGAGACCTGGAAGAAGATCCCGGCTCCTGGCTTTGGATTGGCTTGGCTCCGGCCGTTGTAGCCACTTGGAGTGTAAATCGTCAGACAGATCTTTCTCTCTATCTCGCTTCCTCTCTGTAAATTTGCCTTTCCAATAAAAAAGGAAATAAAATAAATCTTTGTAAAGATTCTATTTGGTTGGAAAGAGAGAGGGAGAGAGAAAAGAGAAAATACCAGCCAATGAGATAATTTGTAATCATCTAATTGGGCAATTTTCCAAACCCTGTCAAAATGTCCGGAAGCTTCATCGGGTAGCTCTGACTCTTAAATGCAGCCTCTGCTACGCTGTGAATTCAGTCCTGGCTGTGGGCTGGGTAAACCCTCATGAAGACATGCATGACAGGCACTGCAAGGTAGCCACCAGCTGTGACACTTGGCGTCACCCATCAGAATCTTAGTTGGATCTCAACTGCTCCACTTTAAAAAAATATATTTATTTATTTTTATTGAAAAGGCAAATACACAGAAAGGAATATCTTCCATCTGATGGTTCACTCCTCAAGCGGCTGCAATGGCTGGAGCTGAGTCAATCTGAAGCCAGGAGCCTTTTTCGGGTCTCCCACACACGGGTGCAGGGTCCCAAAGCTTTGTGCCATCCTTGACTGCTTTCCCAGGCCACAAGCAGGGAGTTGGATGGGAAGCAGAGCCACTGGGATTAGAACCGGCATCCATATGAGACCCCAGCACATTCAAGGCAAGGACTTCAACCGCTTCGCTATTGCACTGGGCCCAGCTGCTCCACTTTCAACCCAAGCTCCCTGCTAATGTGTCTGGAAAAGCAGCTCATGTGTTTGAGCCCTGAATGGGGGTTCCTGGTTGCTGGTTTTGGCCTGGCCCAGCCCCAGCTATTATGGTCATTTAGGGAATGATTCGGCAGAAGGAAGATCTTCATCTCTATCAGTGTGTGTGTATATCACAGTGCATTTCAAACAAGACCTATTTTTTCAAAAAATATTATGATGGGCTTAGGCTTGGGAACCCACGTATTTTTGCAGTCTTCCATTCCTCTTTTCCAGCCAGTCCTTCATTCCACATACAAGCCAAACACAGCAGCCCAGGCCAGGGCCTCAGCCCTGCTGCCCCCACCTCCAGGGGTCCAGAGTCTAGGGGCTGCTGACCAGGGGACACGGCTGGGAAGAGCCAGGACTCGGTTCCCTCCCTGGCTCCAGATGGTCAGACTTCTGTCTTGGCTACATCCAGGCCTAGAAGGCTCCTTAAATATGGGGTGTTGAGGATGAAGGCAGGCTAGGGACAGTGAAAGCAAAGGACATTTGTCTGGAAGAGCTGGGAGGAGCCACACCTGTGGGCAGGGAGGGTTCAGGAGCCCGGGAAGTGAGCCAGCCCAGAAGGTCAAATTCCTCTGGGGTGAAGTGTGAGACAGAAGGTTGGCAAGAGAGGTCTGAGCAGCTGCGAGAGAACCAGACGGAGGGAGACTAGCTTTTGCACCTGAGCTCAACTCCGGAACCTCTCTTTGGAAGAGGCCGGCAGGCAGTCAGGCAGTGCAGAGGGGCTGGGCAGGACGCTCTCTCTCAGCCTCCACCTGCCCAGCCAACTGCTTGCCTTCACCCTTTGGTGCCAGCTGGGAGAGCCAGAACAGAGAAGATGGAGCTGGGCAGGACTCACATAAAGCTTGACCCCAGGTAAGTGACGAGAGCAGGCCCTGGGCCAGGAGTTAGTTGCTAAGCAACAGTGGTCCCTACTTACTGCACCTGCCTGGCTCTCCCTTCCTCTCTCCAGGAGCCCTTTGGCTCCCAGCAGCCAGAATGGGACAGGGACTGAAGAGGCTCTGGTGGTACCTCTAAACCTTCAGATGTACTATGTGCCAGATGTACCAGGGTCTGAACTTTGGTTCTGAATCTGGGGCTGTGGAAGGCATGCCCAGAGGGAATGTATAGAGGCCCTGGCCACTGGGGAGCCAGCCCTGGGGGCAGAGGCATATTTCTTCCTCTGCCTGATACTTGGGCTGCCACCTGGACAGCAGCAAGGACAATTGGCTGGGAGCTCTTTGGACATACCGCTGACCAGTAGACCGGGTGCCTTACCACGCTAGACTGGAGCCCTGAGGGGAAATGGAAGATCTCTCTGCATCCAGGAGTGTTGCCCGAATAGTAATTAACTGTGGTCCAACCTACTGCCGCCACCAACTGCCTCTAAGTCCTCCAGTGTTCTGAACACGCACTGGTATCTCCCCAGGTACACGGCGGAGCTCGTGGAGGTGCTAAAGACCAACTACAGCATCTCTTCTGCCTGCTTCTCTTACCCGCCCTCGGCTGCCCAGCTCCTAAGAGGTAAGCAGCGGGGTCCACTCCCCAGAACGACCCCCAGGGAGATGCACAGCCCCAGGGGGCAGTCGGGGCAGCCAGGGAACCTGGAGTCAACATCTGGGAGGAGTCAGAGGGCCCAAGGCAGGAGGCCGCTAACATTCTAGGGACTGCTAATTATGAGTGGTGGACTGTAACCATGGGCGAGCCTGGGAGAGCACCGCAGTGTTGGCCCCACAAGATCCTGTTCTGGCCTGGTTTTGAACGTCAAAGGCATTGGCTGTGAGACTAACCTAGTCCCTGGACACTCAAAGCACTGAGAGTCAGATGGCCGCATTGTCTTTCTGCCCAATAGGACTCAACACGTGTAGTTTATTTTGTTTTCCTGCTCCGCAGGGACCTGCCTCTGAGATGCTGACCAGGGATCGGCATCTCAGTGGTACACTCCTACCCAGCCGGCCCTGCCACACGTGGTCTCCTCCTGGGACAGTCCCAGTGTGAGCGGCAGGACACCATCAGCACACTAGGCATGTTAGGAGGCAGGTATGGGTCTGTCCTGCCTGCCAACAGCTGCAGGTGCTCCAAATTACAGTGAGTGCCACATGCTGATGTGTCACTTCTGCCCATCAGTGGCAGTGGATGCTGCTGCCTCATAGTTGGCAGCCCAGGAGCTCTCAAGCCAGGGGATAGCTGGAGACAGTTGTAGTTGCACCAGTGGTGGCTGCCAACTTCCTCCAGGACCCAGGGCAGCCCCTCCTGCCCCCCTAGCAATGAGCCAGGCCAGTTCCACACAGCTCAGGTAGAGAAGCCTGACCATATAATATCAGAGTGGCCCTTGTGTTGTTTTGTTCTGTACAGAGTACACACATAGAAACCTAGAGACTCTCAGAGTGTGCGATGGCCCTGCCAGTGAAGGCAGCTGCTGTGTTACAGCTAGAGTGGGTGGGATTTGGGGAGAGTGCAGAAGCAGGCAGTACACACTCCTGGGGCAGGGATAATGGTAAAAGAATCCGATGAAGCCTCCAGACCCTGGGCAGCTGGCTCTGGTTGGATTCAGAGTTAAGAGTCTGGGACCCTAGGGAGGGCTGGACTGGTGAGGTAGGGCCTGATGAATGTCGGGCCCTGGAGCTGTGCTTTATCCTGCAGACAGAAAGGGGTGCAAGAGCCATGAGGGCTCCGAGGTGGGGAGGAGCCAGCTGAAAGGAGACTGCAGGATCATTACTCCATAATCAGAATGGGCTGCCCGGAGAAGCAAGCACAGAAACCAGAGGCTATTCCCCAGACACTGCAGGGCTGAGGCAACCAAGGGAAGCAAGGACTAGAAACCACACAGGCAACCCAGAGAGCAGGCAGTGCAGTAAGTGTGTCCACACTGCAAGGGCAGGTTCTGGGCAAGGGTGATGATGACACAGCCAGGACTAGAACCAGGAAGTAGATGGAGGATAGATGGCAGAAGTCCTTCCTGTTTCCTTTATGAATCCTTTTGCTCTTAAAGAAGATGCTACTTAAGAAAGCATTGTTCTGGAAGAAAAACAGAATCTTTCACTCATCCATTTTTGAGATGTCTGGGGTAAAATTGTGATTATACTCCATCCAGGAGTTTTAAAAATGGACTGAACAAAAAGTGCATACAGATACATAGAGGGACCAAGAAAACCCAAGACAGCTTTGAAAGGGAGGAAGGATTCCCTAGCTGAGATTAAGGCTTCTGAGAAGACAGTGGGAAGGTGAGCACTGAGGTGCTGATGGCAAGGCCCTGGTGGAAGAAACATAGAACAGTGAGAGGGCTTGGAACCTGAGTGTTCCTACTGGAGGACTGGACCTGCAGAAGGATGCTCCCCACGCTGGTGGAGCAGGATGGATGCTCCCCGGGGTGGGCTACAGGTTAAGCCACTGCTTGGGGCACCAGCACCCTAGATCAGAGTGCTAGTATGAGTTCTGGCTTCTCTAGTTCCGGTCAAGCTTCCTGGTAATGTGCCTAGGAGGGAGAAGAGGACAGCCCAGCAACCTGAGTCGATTCCACCCATATGGGTGACCACACGCTGTTCCTATTTTCTGGCTCTGGCTTGGCGCAGATTTGGATGTTGGGGTCCCCCTGGGGAGGGAGCCAGGGGATGTAAGATCTCTCTCTGTTTCTTTCTCTGTCACTCTGCCTCTCAAATTAATAAATTTTTTTTAAAAAAGCTGTGAAACAATTGCCTTTCCCAGTAGCAAATAAATATATGCAAAAATAGCTCCGAAATAGCTCTAATCCAGACAGATTAAATGCCTCAATACAAAAGGCAAATATTTTCACAAAAGAAAATATGGAAGGATATCTGCGTGATTGGGAACAGAAAAAATTTCTTAAACCACAGGAAAGCATGAAGGTGGATCACACAGAGTAAAAATCTTTTGTATAAACTGAAAGTACTGGGGGCCATACTGTGACATAGTTAAGCCTCTGCCTGCAGTGCCAGCATCTCATATGGGCACTGGTTCAAGTCCTGGCTGTTCCACTTCTGATCCAACTCCCTCCTAATGTAACTGGAAAACAGTAGAGCATGAACCAAATGTTTGGGACCATGTACCCATATAAGAGACCTGAAAGAAGTTTTTGGCTTCTCATTTTGGACTGGCCCACCTCTGGCCAATGCAGTCTTTTGGGGAATGAATCAGTGGGTAGAATACCTCTCTCTCAATCTGTAACTCTACCTTTCAAATAAACAAAATAAATCTTTAAGAAAAAAAACCACTAAACTAGGAGTAGTACAAACAAAGTTAAAAGCCAAGCTACAGAGTAAGAGATATTTTCAGATCTCTAGCCAACAAAGGATTAGTAATCAGCACAAGAAAAATTAAGCAATAAACATTGAATAAAATATATGAGCAAACAATTTGTGGACGGAAAACTCCAAATAGTAAGTACTCAAAAAAAAAAAGTTTGCCTTCACTAGTAATCAGGGAACTATGAACTTAATAATACTAGTTGCCAAATAAATAATTATATTTGCAGTGGTTAGACAATCATTTCCCAAAGTGCTATTAAACCAAAACTCTTGAGACTGAGGGATCTCTGAAACAAAAGGATTTATTGAAGAAAACACAGACAAAAAGAAAAAACCAGAACTGGGACTGGGACAAGTTAAGGCTGGATAGGAGCGGGGGAAATGTCTGCTACAGCCAGGTTGTGAATGTCATAGTCTAAGATTGCAGAAAGAGGAGTGGGTAGCAGGTGCAGTGGACTGAGATGCTACTCAGGATGCCTCCATCCCATCCTGGAGGGACAGACTGTGCTCAGGATCAAGCTGCACTGATGATGGCTCAGGGACTTGGGGCTCCACACCTGAGGAGCATACCTGGGTTGAGTTCCTGGATCCTGGGTGTTGCTTGGTTCAACACTGGCTATTGAAAGCATTTAGGGAAATGAACCAGTGATTGGGAGATTCTCTCTTTCTCTGTTACTGTGTGTCTGACTTTCAAATTTTTAAAGATTTATTTATTTTTATTGGAAAGTCAGCTTTATGGAGAGGAGGCAGAGAGAAAGATCCTTCATGTGCTGGATCACCCCCCAAGTGACCACAGCAGTGATCTGAAGCCAGGAGCCAGGAGCTTTCTCCAGGTCTCTCATGTAGGCACAAGGTCCCAAGGCTTTGGACCATCCTCTACTGCTTTTCCAGGCCATAAGCAGGGAGTGGATGGGAAGTAGAGAAGCCGGGACACAAACCAGTGCCCATATGGGATCTCGGTGCATGCAAGGCGAGGACTTCAGTCACTAGACTACTGTTCTGGGCCCTGATTTTCAAATTTCAAAAGCATATTCCTAATTCAGCGAAAAGAAATAAAAGTTATCTAGGTAGATCCTACACTGGCAGAAGATTTGGATGCCTGTACAGTACAGAGCGAGGGAAGCATGGGGTGGGACAGTGTGTGAGGTGGACCTATTGGTTGGGATCATGGGCAGGAAGCAGTGGTGTCTGTGTGGAATCATGGTGGGAATGACATTGGGTTGAAGCCATCTCAGAATGTCACTTGTATACATGTCTTCCTGGAAATATTAGACGGGATGGTGGTCCCCAGGAAGCATGCTGATAACAGTTCTGTGAAAATTTGTCATAAAAGTTACATTCCATGGCCAAACTTTTGGAAATGAGCAATGCAAACGAATGAGTAAATTGAAAACTTTCTGTGTGCTTTGCAGGAAGGAACCATGTTCAACTCTGTTTAACGCATAGTCGGAAATCCTTCAGCCATGGATGCTTTTAACCCATAGTAACTGCTGGGGGAAACTGAGTTAGACCATGCCGGTAAAGGAGGGGTGGCCATTTAGGAGTAGGATGAAGAGAGGCCATATCAGGCCATGAGTACCCGGGAAGCTTCTCTCCTTTCTACTAAGAGTTTGTGGTATGGGCGTGGTTATAAAAGCCTGGAGCTGCTGCCAGAACCAAGCACAGAGAGCAGCAGTTACATGAAACACAGAGGCACTTTCCCTGTGATAGGGCACACCCCATCGCCTCTCCCTGGGTCAGGACACCAGCGTGTGGTCAGAGATAAAGCAGACCAGAGAAGGCAGACAGAAGCAAAGAGAAATAGGAGAGTGCCTTAAGCAAGAGTAGCCAGGGTCCACGCTGCCGCTCTCATTGGTTATAAATGGTCCCGGCTGCTGCTTCCCACCCACCAGGAATGAGTGAGCAGCAGATATGTCGGGTCTTCCTCCTTCAGCAGCTGCATCTGAGTTGTCCTCTCGCCTCTCGAGGTTTCCTCCACCGGCACCCTAGGCGGGTGCCCTGCGCCCTGACAGCCTTTTCTCCTGTGCTATCCCTTGTCTAAGCAGTGGCAGGTGCCAAGGGGGGGGCATGTGCCAACTAGAGAAGATACTCAGACAGAGGGGCACAGGCCCTGTCTCTGAGCACACAGAACTCTATTGAGAAGCAGCTGTTGCCTTAGTGAGTCATGTGTACAAGTGCAGGTGACTCCATTCATCTTTTCTGTTAGCACTGGGGGAGGTTAGGTTCACAGCGTGCTGCCCTCCGACCGCGGTCAGTGAACTTGTACAGAATACAGTTGATGGGGCCCACCCCAGATCGATGGCTGCTTTTATTAGCAGCTCCCCAGAGGATTCTAACCAACACTGAAGCTGGGCCAGGTGGCTGTGCAGCCTTTATTTACACCTGTTTCTCTTCTGCGGGTGCCCAGTTTCACTCATGGTTCGATTTGGGTGAAATCATAGGTGAGTAAGCACTAAGGCATGTCAGTCATCACACACTGTTTGGCTCACAGTCCATGTCTGCTAGGGTAGCATCCAGCACGGGAGGTAGCAGAGTGGATAGGCCCTGCTGGGGGCCTCTTGAACCAAACTTTGGCCAATGATATAAAAACTTGTTTGAGTGTCTACACCCCTGGTGCAGGAAGATCTTGCCACCCCCGGGGAGCAGCCGATTTGGGCTCTGATTCACAAAGCAGAAGGACTATTTATTAGTCACACGTTGGAACCTCTGAAGTCTAAAATCAAGTCATTCTTCTACAATGATGGGAACCCAAATTCTAGATTAAGCAGTTTAGGTCCAGGTGAGGAGGGCCACATCTTTCCATTTCAGTCTCATTGGAACCTGTCTCCTCTTCCTCTCTATAGCCTTGGGCCCTGTAGAAATCACCCTCTCGTGTGCCCTGACCTGTCTTGCCCTGATCTCGATCATCATCTACTTGGAAGATGCCGTCTACCTATACAAGAACACCAGCTGTCCCATCAAGAGGAAGACCCTGCTGTGGACGAGCTCCGCCCCAACGGTGAGCGCCCTGCCTGGGCTTTATAATCTCATGGTTTTTGGAAGTAGGATCCTTGCCTGGAAGGCCAACAGGCACAAGGAGTGGGGAAGTGGTAAGACTGACTTAGAAAGGTTGGAGCACTTGCTCCGCCCACTCCTGCCTCCCCCCCAACCTGCCACCCAGGGTCCAGTCCCAACCTGCCGCTCCACACCCACTACCCCAGCCTGCAGGCAGGGCTGTCCTCAACGCTTTTGGCCTTTTTAACTCACTCCGAGAGCCACCACAGAAATCCTGGGTTAGCTTGATGTAACTGGTGATTCTTCCGGCTGGTGACTGTTAGAGAATGGGGCCTCAAGTAGACAGGTTTTCTTCCTGGAGCCATGACCACGAAAGGCCCAAGCTTACTTCCCACTTCCGGTGAGCAGGTGGTGTCTGTGTTCTGCTCCTTCGGTCTCTGGATCCCTCGATCCCTCACGCTCGTGGAACTGATAACAACCTCGTGAGTGTTTTCCCTTCCCCCTAGCCCCAACTCTGGGCTGGGCACTCCTCCAAGGCTCCTTCCCTCCCCACTCACCAGGATGCCAGAAACCACTCTTCAGTCCCAGGTGATGGAAAACCCAGCATGTTTTCCATCATGTTAAGCTGGAGCTCCTATTCAGGCAATGCCATGGACACATCCCCCAGCCACCTCTTGGTCCCCACAGCCTCCCAACTCCCCTCACCCTGGCCCTTGAATCACACCTAGGGAGTGCCCAGCCTCTATTCTTCTGCCCTCAGTAAACCCCATTTCTCCCCACAGCCTTTGTCCTTGGTGGTAAAGTTACGTCCTGCTTCCTCTCCAGATTTTACTCTGTGTACTTCTACCTGCTGATGATGGTCATGGTGGAAGGATTTGGTGGGAAGGAGGCCGTGCTGAGGGCCCTGAAGGACACACCGATGATGATCCACACGGGCCCCTGTTGCTGCTGCTGCCTCTGCTGCCCCCGCTTTGCGCTCACCAGGTAGGACAAGAGGACCGAGTGAGGCATTTGCAGCTCGTGGGCCTTGCTTTGAGGTTTTTGGAATTAGTTTTGAACAGAACAAAGCCAATAAACAAGCAGGCATGCAGCCTGCAGCCGGGACCTACAACAGGGGCACCCAATCCCAGGGAGAGGGACTCAGAAGCAGGGGTACTCCTGAGTTTCCAGCTCACAGCATAGCCCTGCTGCAAACTATTCAGACAGGGGAGGCTGGCTTTGGGCCACTGACTCCTCCCTTTTGGCTAATATGGTTGAGGTCAACATGCTGGCAGCTCTTTTTCAAAAGGCATTGGCTATGGAGGTGGGCGGGCAGCACTTCAGTCCAGAAGCTCAGAGAGGATGTGGGCATGGTTGGGGATTATCTTTTTTTTTGCAGGGGGGAAGGCAGTTTGTGGATCCAAGTTCCTAATCCTCTCTACACACCCCACCCTCAGGAATAAGCTGAAACTGCTGATGTTCGGCCCATTCCAGTACGCTTTCTTCAAGATCTCGCTGGGTCTCGCGGGCCTGTTTCTCATCCCTGATGGCATCTTTGACCCCTCAGACGTAAGCAAGGGTCTCTGAGACACAGAAGGAAACAGCTGGAACCCAAACTCTGGACCCAAGCCCCAGGGGCAAGGTGGCTGGGGAAACTAGGCCAAGGCTTGGAGGCTTTTCTTTCCCAATCACTCTTTGGTGCCAGAGTAGAAGGGAAAGAAGAAAAGGACTGGCCCTCCTCAATGCTACTTTCTGGCCTCCCCCCAGATTTCTGAGAGGAGTGTAGCTCTGTGGATCAACGTTTTCCTCGGTGTGTCTACTCTACTGGCGCTCTGGGCCCTGGGCATCGTTTTCCGTCAGGCCAGACTACACCTTCGAGAGCAGAACATGGGAGCCAAGTTTGCCCTGTTCCAGGTAACTCACCCTGGGAGATAACAGAACTATGAATGACTTGGGTGAGGTGAGACAGGTAAAAATGAAAGTTTACTTGCCAGCCCAAGTTTCTTATGAGGTTTACAAAAAAAAAAAAAAATGCTTTCAGCTCTTTGCCTTTCTGGTGTCTGCCAGCTATACTTCATTGCAGCTGCATCCCTCATTTGTGTCTTCATCATGTGGCCTCCTCTCCTATTTTAATGATTGACTTGAAAGTCATCAGAGTTACAGAGATAGGAGAGAGAGGGATCTTCCATCTTTTGGCTCACTCCCCAGATGGTTGCAAAGGCCAAGGCTTTGCCAGGCTTAATCCATGAGCTAGGAGCTTCTTCTGGGTCTCCCATGTGGGTGGCAGAAGCCCAAATGCTGGGACCATCTTGAGCTGCTTTTCCCAGGCTATTAGCAAGGAGCTGGAGTGGAAGAGGAGCAACTGGAACATGAGCCCACACCTAAATGGGACACCCGTGTCACAGGTGGTATTGTTACCCACTATGCCACAAGACTAGCCCCTCCTCGCCTATGTGTACATTAGTCATATTGGATTATGATTTCATCTCATGAGTATCAGCTGCAATGAGCCTGTTTCTACATCAGGTCACATTCTGAGATATGGGATCAACACTCCACCGATAGTATCATACTATCTGCTACTTCCCAGAGTCCCATAATCCATGAGCTCTAGCAGAAGCAGCAGATGGCAACTACCAGTCATTACCTACACCCTGTGCCAGGCATTGTTCACAGAATACACTCACATCTTCACAACACTCCTAGAAGTCTTTACTATTCCTATTTTACAAAGGATGAAATGGGATCCAGAGAAGCTATGAGGCTTGCTCAGTGGCACTTAGGGGATGGGGCCATCATCAAACCAACATTCCTTCGTTAACTCATTGACCCTTCATCTTCAAACTTCTAGAAATTCTCTCAGAGGCACATTTTGTTATCTTTGACATTTTGTATTCTCTGCACCCAAAGGTGACTTATCTACCAAATGCAGTGGCTTCAAACCCAGTCTTATTTTCTTTCTCTCTCCTTGGATTCTGTCTCACTGCTGGACCCTTCTACTCCCAAAGCATGACATGAGCTTTATAGTCCAAGAGGGATTTCACATACGTTCTCATTAGATCTGAGCCCTCGCCTCCCAAATGGGAATCTCCAGGCCCATCTCCAGATACTTCTCTTTCTCCTCTGCTTCTGCCAGCATCTTTTTTGGCATTCTCCATTTTTTCTTAGTCTTCAACTTCTTTTATTGTGGGAGAATTCACAATGTAAGATTTACCTTCTTCATGATTATTTAAATGTATATTCACACCATCCATCTCTGCCATTTTTCCAACTTCCCAAAATGACATTCTGTACCCATTAAACACGAAGTCCTCGGTGCTCCCTCCCCCAGCCATGGTGTAAAATTTTCAAATGGCATTTTTTTTTTAGAAATACTTATTTATTTATGAGGGATTAAGGGAGGGAAAGGAGGAGAGACGGAGGTGAGGAAGATGGGGAGGGAAATATTTTCATCCACCGATTCACCCCAACGCCTGCAAGGACTAGGGCTGGGCCAGAGATGCAGCCAAGTGCTGAGAACTCAATCCAGGAACCCTATTACTTGAATTATCATCCTTCCTGCGTGAGTTAGGAATCAGAGGTGGGACTTCATCCCATCCCTCCAAGGGGGGACAGAGGTATCTAACGCACAAGGTTAAAGACCTACTCCCAGAGGTCATTTTAATGGTTAACTGTGCATTATTCTAGGAACAAGAATCTTAGGTGTTTGGATTAGATTGAATTATTCTTCTGTGATTATCTGCTTTTTTCATCTATTAAGCACTTACTAATAGCCATGCCTCAGAGATAGAAATAAAAATAAACCTCAACAAAAGATTGTTAGGTAGATTATCATTTGCATGAAGATGAAAAATACCACACATTTTTAATCCATTGCGAACCTTAACCTTGTGAAACTGCACACATAATGGAGGCCAAACCTGCCATGGAAGGAGGCCCAGCAGTGGGCCAGCTGGCCTCAGAACACGAAGGCGGGGCCCAACCTGCTTCTCTTTTCCGTTGCGCAGTCCCTTCTTATCCTGAGTGCCCTTCAGCCCTCCATCTTCTCCGTCTTGGCCAACAGTGGGCAGATTGCTTGTTCACCTCCCTATTCTTCGAAAATCAGGTCTCAAGGTGAGTGCATAGGTGACATGGGAGAGGGTGAGGGAAGAGGACCTTGGAAAAGAGGTTAGACCAGTCTCATTTGTGCTTAGGACATTTCTCTGAGAAATCTATGCTGAAGCTTTAATGAGAATATGACCTCTGATCAGAGAACTACAATCCCTGAGCTTGAGACCAGCCACAATACCAACCAGGAAGCCGCTGGTCCATCATCAGCTCCGAGAATGGACGTGGTTGGAAAGTGGAAGGTCATGCTGATTAAACCCTCCTAAGAAATGGGTCTTCAAGCCCGCTTCAAGAGCTCAACAAAGAGAGCCAAATCCCAGTGCTGGCTCTACCATTACTCTGCTCTCACAGTATGACCATTTGGTAATTCTAGGTTCTGGTTTGTGACACATTGGAGAAAACAATTGTCTGACTGATACAGCAGGGCTGCTGGTGGGACACCATCTCTACAACTTACCATAACTTGCATTATATTTCATTCCACATTCTAGTGATGAATTGCCACCTCCTCATCTTAGAGAGTTTTCTGATAACTGTGTTGACACGAAAGTACTACCGCAGGAAAGACCACAAGGTTGGGTATGAAGCTTTCACTTCTCCAGAACTGGACTTGGACCTCAAAGCCTGAGGTAGATGGCTTGAACAATGGAAAAGAAACTGTACTCATTAGGAGAGCATAAGATTTCTTCACTACTCAACAGAAAGGACTCCTGTCACCCACCCATGCAAGCTGGTAGATTGTATATTTGACTTTAGGAGATGAAGGCATATTATGCAATAGTTTGAAAATGTTTGAATATTGCTCAGGGAAAATTTTTTTTTTTTAACAATAAAGAGGATGAATTCTGAAACTCTATGATGGAGCACATAGCCTCTGTGGGTGCCACTATTGGCCCTTTATAAGCTTGAATACTGAATGGCTACTTAGCTTTCCCAAAGCAGACCAAAGCGGGGAGAGAGCCTGTATACAAACAGGAGTGGTACTTGACCAAACAAACCCACAGCAGTTCAAACAAAGTCTTAAAGGAACCAGGGAGATCTGGAACTTCCCTTTGTGTGTCAATGCCTTTTCTTTTTTTGTGTATGTTTGTCTATCTGCCACACTGTAAAAGGAATCACTCAATAAGATGACCCATGAAGACAGTTTTGAAGACAGGAGTTAGGAAGCAAAAGCAAAGGAATTGAGAGCATAAGTAAAAATCCCCAATACATAAAATGTGTATACATCCGTATACTAAGTCAAAAACACGGGAAATGGAACATTAGGTAAACCCACATTTGCCTTTATTTGGCTAAATGACAAAAGCCAAAAAAACTGAACAGATGAATAACTCTCAGACAGGAAAATGATACACTGATTTCCAATCGAGGAAACTTCCCTGTGGACTCATACTGGTGTTGGGTAAACACTCATGCCAAGGCCAGCAGTTTTCTCCAAGATTTTTTTTTTTTTCCTTTTCGGGATCCCTAATACAAAAGAGCCAACCCATCAGGTTTCTGTGCTCCCATCAGCACCTCCCTAAGAAGGGTAAAGGCTCATCCAAACGCAAAGGCACACAGCCGAGTCATCTTATCTTAACCCGTGTTCTAACTTAAACCTTTGGCAGACTGAAAGATCTTGTTTATTTCTGAGAAAATGAACATTTAGTAGTATAATCCCAGGAACACGTTCTACTACTTCCTTTGGAAAAATAGAAGCTAGGACACATTTTTTTGTGCTCCATGACAATCTATTTTATAAGAAAACATAAAACCAATCATTGCTGTGACTTTTAAAAATATAACTTTTAGAAATACTTATATTGATGAGCTTAAAAATACTATTATTTAAAAAACACAGTCAAGGGAGCATTTGTCTACCTATGTTGGTTCACCTTCTGGTGAGATGACATAAAATACTGGAACTCTGGTTTTTAAGGAATTAAAGAGCAGCATAATAGATTGTTCTGGAAAGATTTTTAGACAAGAGATTTGAAACAGGATTCAAAAGGCAATGCCTTCCAGAAGATAAACTGCTCACAAAGAAACAAAGCCCTGGGCAGAACCATTGAACAGGATCTAGCTAGAGACTGATGAGTGGTGGGGGCCACAGGTAAGCTGAGTCTCACTCAGGTGCTGCCTAAGATGTTATCAGTGATCTTGAAGAGTCACGAGCTTTCTCGGCTTCCTTCACATTTCCTCTTCACCACATCCAGCTTCGGATCCGAGTCTCTGCAAGTCATCGTCTTGGCCCCAGCTATCAGCAGCAGCTGCTGCAGCACTACAATCAATCCATTTCTGTTCCTCTGAAGTTTCCACTTGGGTTCTCAGTGTCCTGAGCCCAGTGTATGTGAAAAGGGCAAGTTTCCTGCCGGCCCACCTCAAGGGAGCAGCTGAAGGGGCATCTCCTCAGAAGCTATGGGGCCTCTGTCTTGGACTTCCTTCGCTGTTGCAGATGGAGGCTGCAAGGCCAAGAAACTTCTATAGGCTCTCCTGTCTCTGCTGACTGTTTCCTTCTCTGGGATTCAGAGAAATGGCTTCCACAGTCTCAAACATGAATATTTGGAGAATTACAGATCACAGGCATGGTCATGGTGCATAGACCTCAAACTTCATTTAATTAGGCACAAATGATCAAATAGTGTATCATTCCAATGACTTTCTCCACCTGCTCACCCTTGTCCAATTCTTAAGATCACATTTACCTCTAAAGGGTTGAACACATCACATTATAAAAGTTTTTTGTTTTCAGTCAAAATTATTTGAAAATACACCAGTGTTGGTAGACTGAGGCAGTAAGGGCTTACCAGAAGGGGCGAAGGAGCCTTCCAAGACCATGGGCGTCAGCTGACCCTAATCCCAGCAGTCTCTCAGACCTGGTCAGCCCGGAGGTGCCAGTCCAAGTGGAGAGCAGACCAAGCGCGGCCTGCTGGGAGTTGAGAGGAAGGGCGCAAAGCTCTGGGATCCAGGCAATACATTAGAGAGGCATCTTCCTTCCCACCCAAATACGCCAGGGCAATGTGTCCTCTCTGGGAAAACAGCAGGATAGGCTCAGCGATGACCTGGCTACCTTTCTAGACTACAGAGAATAAATTAGATAGAAACAGGTAGAATTCCTAAAAGGGAAGATGGAAGCTGAAAACCTAAATCTAAGACCAGATGAAGCTGCACCATGTGGGAAATATCAATCACAACTATTTCAAAGAAAGGATTCCAAATTTGGCAATGAAAACAGCACTGCATGAGCAGAGTTAGAAATGTCATTTTCATGGGCCATAGGGACAAGAGGCTCCCCCCGCCTTGGTTCCTCTCTTTGACTTCCCTGGCACCAAGGAGCTGAGCTGCAATGAGGGAGAAGCCGAGGTTACCCTGCAGTGCTGGCAGGCAGAATGGCAGCTGTTGGGGCTCAGACAGAAGAGCAGCTTTTCCTAGGGTTCAGAAGGGACCATGAGATGAGATGCTCACAGCTCTAGCACAGGAGCAAGAAAAATGTGATTTTCTTTGCTGAAAACACCAAAACTCCCCACTGACAAGGGATGTTTATGAATGAAAGGGGGTGAGACCCGGATCTAAACCACTGTCTCCTTAATCCAGTTACAGGATTACTGACAGATGGTAGTATACTAGTCATGTAACTGACGAGATACAATGCTGGACAGCAAATGCTAAGTATCAGTACTCTTTGATTTGCAATTCAAGTGCTAAATCCTCTTGGGCAACCTAACAGGGGAGGTGGGGCTACAACCAACAGGCACAACTGGGAAGGAGGGAGGGTGTCTGGTGAGCCCATGCTTTGTGGCTTGCGGCAGGAGAGCTGGGCAGAAGTCCTTGACAGTTACAGCTTGTACAGGTAAAGAAACACTCCAAGGCATATGGTTCTACTTAAAGAACCTTCTTAAGAGGGTCAAGGTCAACATAAGGCTGTTGAAACAAAGAAGCATCTTTATGCTTCCTTATGCGTTAGCCTCTTATGTTCTGTGCAAATCTCTCTAAATAGTTAATATGGCCATGAGCAACACAAATGAACAGATCAAGTCCAAACTGTAAAGTACTCTCTGTAAAGAGCTGACAACACCAATAAAATAGGAGCAGCAGGGCCAGGGACTTCCTTCCAGGAGGAAACGAATCTAAACTGACTTGATATGGGCTTGAACACTGTCTACTCCCCTCCTCAATCACAGTAGACCCTCAAAGTGTTCCTTCCTTTAAAGGTAGATTGCAGGAAAGAGCTCCCAAATAACTGGGCAACAGAATGTTCTGAGAAGATGAACACAGCAGAGAGCAGCTGATGATGCCGTGTGGTCTGGTTCCATCCCCATCAGTGTCTTCATGGACCCCATTGGGTCCAACAAGAAACTCCTCAGGGAGTAAGAGAATTCGGCTCTGATCTCCTTCTTCCTATAGCCACACTGAGACCTGTGCCAGTGCACGTTTGGGGGACTGGAGACTGTAGCTCAGTTTTGTTTTCTTTTTTTTTTTAAAGGAAACAAAAAGTTAGGTATTTCCCCCCAAATCACCCACCATTAGCATGGCTCATGGTCTGAAAGGCTTAGTGCGAGCCGCTTTGCTTCAAAGGGCAAATTCTACAGTGTGTCAGGAAGAAAAGGCCTCTGGGTAGTATACCACTTCCTTCTTCTGCCCACTCCTCAGGGGCAAAAAATTAGTTCTACTTATTATATTTGAAAGACTAATCTTTTAAAAAATTAATAAAAATGACAATTTCCCTGTCAAGATCACATGAACATAAACAGTAAAGCAAAGTCCTTAGGGAGGGTATATGGATGTAGAAGAGGCTTCTAAGGTACAGCCAGCCTCCTTCTCGGGATGGGTGACAGATGCTTCCTGGAAGACAGGCTGCTTTGCTTCCCCCATTCCCAGGTCCTCTTTCTGCCCCAACTGTCTTTTCTTTGCAGCTGTCCTTAGGTTTAGTGTTGGTATCACAATGTGGGATTCAACAGAGAGCCTCTGAAGGTGATGGGACAGAGAGGAGAGGAGAGGAAAGCAGGAATAAAAACTTAGTCTTCTTCATCCTCACTGATATCATAGGCTGCAGCCTTGTGCCTGGAGAGATTTGCCGGCGAGGAAGTCGGGGAAGTCTTCCCAGAGAAGGGCCATCGGAAAGAGGGTGAGGGGGAGCGTTCACGGGTTGGGCTGCTGCTGGGGCTCTGCCGGGGACTGATGGCCTGCAGCATCCGGCCTTTCCCTTCTTTCAGCATATGTTTCTGGGGAGATCAAAAACAACAGTTAGGAGACACCTCTGAACCATCCTCCTCACCACTGGAGTATCATTTAGGTTATTATGAGTCTCCTCCTCAATGTGAAAGGTGAGGAAACAAAGCAGGGCAGGGACAGAACTAGAATTCTAAGCAATTCCCTCCATGGAGTGGTCTATGTATGCTATTTATTTATGAGTTTTTTCCAACTTGCTTATTCACAGTTATCAAATCCTTGATTGTTAAGTCAAAGGAATTAGTCGTGGTCCAAATTCCAGCTAAACACAAAAGGACTCATGCAGATAAAGATAAACCCTTTACAACCCAGTTGTAAAGTTCTCTAAACTCCATCTTCTTTCTAAGTAAACTATTTTAGTATCGAAAAGCCCCTAACAGAACCATCCTAATAGCTAAGAGTCTACTTGCTGATTTTTAAAAATTGGTTTAAAAAGACTGCTATTCTTCAAGATGAGAATGATCATCTTTTCCTAGGGACCCTGCAGTGGCTCTATGTGGTGGGACAATTTACTTTTTCCTGTTCTTTATTTAAATTTAAAATTCTATTTAAAATTATAATGTAGAAGAGTAAGCTGGTCAAGGCTACTCATTCACCTTGTCATCAGATTTCCAGGTTGATGGGGAGCTGGCAAAAAAATATTTAGGATCATGTGTAGCCTCTTTCTAGAAAGCTTATAAAGAACTTCCTGGGGAGAGCTGAAACTTAGTTTTCCCTAGACAAAGGGAACTGACAAGATAACTTCTGAATGTCAACATCCCTTTCTGCTGAAGGATTTACTAATTCCTCTCACACCACTGAACTTCTCCAGATTCTCCTAAAATTTCATACTCTGCCTAATGGAAAAGAACATACCAGGGCTCCTTCTGGACCAAACATTTCCAGGAAACTTCCAATGAATTCTCGGGATTTCTCTTCCCATTTTTGAATCAGGTCAATGCTTTTTTCCTCCACCTTCTGAACAAATTCTTTTGACTTTTCTTCCACATCTTTCACCTTCTTCTTTACTTTATCAACGCGCTCTTGCAAGTGGTACTTTTTCTCCTAGGTAAAGAAATAGTGCTTTGAGAAATAACTTTTCCAACCAAAAGACCAAGGAAAAAAAGGCTCAAGCATTCTACTGATGTTCTTCTCAGACTTGACTCTCTGGCTGTACTTTAGTCTACTGCACACTTCTTTAGCAGAATGGGTAAGACATGCTCTGGTTAGTGATTTTATACAAAAAGTATAATAATTTTAACGCCGTGTATGCTTGGGACTAAATTAAGTGTACAGGGTAGGCTTACTCATGGATAGATATATAGCAACCAAAGTCAAAGTCTAGGTGAGGGATGAATTCTGTGTGATTCCAAGCAATGGGGTCACAGAACTTGCTGGCAAGCATGGGGACTGAAATCTGAGGGTTTGGAGGGGAGAGTCCATAAGTTCTATTTGGGCCAGACTAATTCACCAACCCACGTGGGAATCCTTAGATGGACTGTTAGCATAGGAGCACCACTGACTGCCACATACCAGTCCACACGAAAGCTATGGTTGGGGGCCTGTCTGGCAGGGGTAGGTACCAGTACTTGACTGAGTGGCGGAACAAGGGATGGGTCACACATGGCAGGGGCAAGACAACTAACCAACATGTGAGAGAACCAGATCCATGGGTATTCTCTGGGGGAAGTGTGGGCCCAACCCTGTGGAAATACAAGTGATTAGCTCATGAGCAGGGGTGTTGATGGGCTGAGCTAGGTGTGACCATGGAACCTGCCATCACTCACGGGTAAAGGAACCCACAACAGTCTGGGCAGGTCAAGGCAGCAGCACCCGAATATGCATCCTAAAACAGGATGTGAGGTGGGCCGAGCTGCAACTGGAAGGAGGAGGACTGGGCAGGGCCAAGCAAACCTTAACTCTCAAGAAAGAACAGAAATCAGGATGGAGCATAGGTCATGGCACACTAGGCTCTTACACTGACTGGTCTGCATGAAACAGGGATTCTAGGCCACAGCATCAAAGGCTAAAGCCAAGACAGGTGAGAGGCTATGCCAAGCTGGGACAGAGCAACCATGGCATACATGCAATCTATGGCTGGGAATAGGCCCTATTGGGAAGCTAAGAAGATACCCTAACTGGGTTGGGGTTCCTACTGGTGAGTGCGGGGACTGCAGTGAGGGCTGAGTTCTGGTCTGGACATGGCTGAAGTCTTCCTTGGCACAAGTGTAGACTGGGACTGGACATACCAGGCCGGGCTAGACTCCAGCACCAATCGGTGTTCTGGAGGAACAGGGTAGATGTAGGATGGACTAGGCTAGGTCATTGCCCCTACTAAACCATGTGGTTAGCTGTGTCTGGGTATGCATGAGCCTTGGCTGGGCTGAAACATCCAACAGTAAGAATCAGAATGGCTTCAAGGCCAGTCAGAAAAAGCCACTGTTCCTGTTAAAACAGGAGGTGGACTAAGTAGAGCTGGCTCATGGACTACTGGTATGCACGAGATCTGGCACTGAGAGGTTCTGATGGAGGAGCCTGGGCAACTCCTCTGGCAGGACACAGTCCCTGCAGGTGAGTGCAAGAAGCACGATAGGGAGCAGCCCAGACCAGGCCAGGGAAAGGTGCCCACCAGCATACATTTGGCATAGGTTGGGGGGCAGACCAGGCTGAACAAGTTCACATCAACCACTAGTGCATTCAAGCATCAGAACAGAGTATGGGTCGGGCCAGGTATGGTCGCAATACAAACCAGTGCACATTACGGCTGGGATTGGATGCCTGCTGGCTGGGCTAGGCTATAACCTTCACCAGCTGGAACTGGGGATGGGCCGGGCCAGGCTACAACACTCACTGGCAAATGCCAAGGTGAGGTGAGCCGTACCAGACTGGGCTGCAGTGCCCAAGCAGCACATGTAAGAACCAAGGAGGGAGGGGACAAAGCCAGCAGGAGGAATGTGGAGGGCTCCTCTGCTGGACAGCTACTCCCACTGGAGAGTATGAGCTGGGATGGGGGCAGCCCAGACTAGGCAGGGCTGCAACACCTGTGGACCTCATGTGGACTAGATCAGGGAAAAGCAAGGCTGGGCTGATTGTTCCTATTGGTGCAAACATAAATCAGAGTGGGTGAGGATTTTTTGGGCTTATCCACAGCATCAGCTGGCAGAAGCTGGCACTGGGGGCTAATTCTGTCAAGTTAAACCACAGAACCAGCTGGAGGAGAGTGCATAATCCGGGAGTGGGAGTGGCTTAGGAGGGAAATAGTGGGCTTTTCCTGATCTTATTACTCTCTTTATGTAAAATTATCAAAATAAAAGAATTAAAAATAAAATAAAACAAACTTAGAATCTAAACACATTTGACAAGACACAAAATTTCATCCTAGATGAAGACATAAAGAGAGTAATAAGATCACTGTACAGTATTTTCAAGAATGAGCCAAGTACAATAAAATAAAAATGAAAGTACTAGATTTTACTTTTTTATTGTCCTGGATTTTTCCTCCACATCAATACCTTATTCTTTAGATTTTAACATGAGGGGTGTGTATGTGTGTTTTAAGATTTATTTTTTAATTGAAAAGTCAGATATAAAGAGAGGAGGAGAGACAGGGGAAGATCTTCTGACCGTTGATTCACTCCCTAAGTAGTCACAATGGTCGGTGCTGCGCCAATCTGAAGCCAGGAGCTTGGAACTTCTTCCGAGTCTCCTTCATGGGTACAAGGTCCCAAGGCTTTTGGTCGGCCTCAACTGCTTTCCCAGGCCACAAGCAGGGAGCTGGATGGGAAGAGGCTGCTGGGATTAGAACTGGCGCCCATATGGGATCCCGGCGTGTGCAAGGCAAGGACTTTAGCCTATGAATTGTGTGTTTTATATTTGAGTATTTCAAGGTATGCTTACCTGCAAAATACAAGTTATGCTCTTAGATCTTATCTGATGTGGGGGCAGGTATGGAATTTTTAGTCACATGAAAAGTATGTTCATAATTCCAGACTACTAAGTACAAAGGAAATGTTTAGAATTTTTAAAAATCTGAATCTTTTGAGAAAACAGATAATGATTCTGTGGGAGGGAAGTTAACAGGATTTAACTGAATACTCAAATGAAACTATTTTACCTACTTTCATAGCATAATTACATAGAAGATTTGGTTAATAACCTTCTTTTTAAGATTTACTGGGGTATAATTTACATATATAATATATAGCGTTTTTATAGGATAATATTGAGCTAAGGAAACTTAAGATCTCAAAAGTAAATTCTCATCATTTTGGTTCATGTGGGGAAATTACAAGCAAAATGTTATCACCTGAGGGGTGAGAAGCCACAGCTGTCATCAGAAGATCCCATTAAAAAAGGGAAAAGTAAGTATCACTGTTAAAAGTATCTTGATATAAATACTGTACTACAGAAGCCACACATCCTCATTTGTTTAATTGGCTATGTGTCCTTGTATAAATATGTTGATGCTCGACCAAAGGGCAGAAAACTCCCTCTGCTTCTGTGAAGAGCTCAGCACAGTGTTACCTACCAAGAGCGATTCATTAGTTTCTGGGAGTGATCATTACAACAGACAGAAAGGCAAGGTTTACAGTTGGAGGCAACAGGAGTCCTCCAGGGTCAGGGAGGTGGGACTCACGTTGATAAAGCTGACGTTGAGCTCCTTGGCCGTGTAGCCTCTCTGCAGGTTTCGTCTTGCATACACATCATAGTCACGGACAATTCGGGTAATGATGTCTGATGTGGAGATGCCTTCGGTCCTCTGCGTTGGAGCAAACATGCCTAACTCAAGAACACATACAAATACTGTGATGTTCTGGAATCCTCAGGAAGCAGATGGAAACTGGGCAACAGTATCTTCCTTAAGAAGTGGAATTTATTATTACAGAGTCAAGCATAGAGATGCTAACATTACATGGAAGACTGCATCACAGACTAAAGGAAAGAAAGGAACTACGTGGCCTTGTTAATGAGAAAAATATGGAAGTGGGGGAAGTTTCCTGAATTAAGAGAGACACTAAAAATAGATATTCAGGCTAAAAAGTAGCAGATGTTGATGCTGTGCTCATCTTTACCTTTAATCCAAAAGGTGACCACAAAGAGGATGTTGAATTTCTCAGTGTATGGATTTTCCTCTAAAATGTAAGATATAGCTGAATTTCCGTAGCCACTTTGAGACTTCATAAAAATGAGACTGTAGAGCCAGCACTGTGGTTTAGTGAGCACAGCCAATGTCCACAAGGCTGGCATCCTGTATGCACGCCAGTTCACTTGTTCTGTTTCTGATCCAGCTCCCTGCTAATGGCCTGGGAAAAGCAGCAGAGGATGGCCCAAATCTTTCAGCCCCTGCACCCACATGTGAGGTTTAACGAAGGTCCTAGCTCCTGGCTTTCACTTTGTCCAGCACTGGGCACTGCAGCCATCTAGAGAGTGAAGTGGCAGATGGAAGCTCTCTTTCATTCTCTTTCTCTCTGTGTGTCTCCGCTCATCTCTTTCTGTAATTTTAACTTCCAAAATAAATGAATAAAGCCTTTTTAAGAAATGAGACTGCACATCAGTTTACTCACCTGCTTCCTTGATGTGCTTATACACATCATCACTCCCAGCAGAAGAATAAGGGATATCATCATGTGCTACAAAATCAATCTGAAAATAAGGAAACATCATTCAAAACCCAGAATAACTGTCATTCAGAAAGACTCAGAAAATACCCTGAGGCCCCCAAAAAAGAACAGTAAGCAGAGACTAGGCCCCTCATGAATTTTCTGTCTGTATCTCTCATTTTGCTCATCAATTCCATGATCCATCACATACCACCGAGCTAAGTTATTTACTGATTATAAATGTGAAGCTAGTCAGTTTCTTTTCCAGCCATTCTATAGCACCTTCACGGTACTCTAGTCACATTATGCTCAGCAAGGCAACAGTATTTGCTGCTGAGCTAGTTAGCAAATGGAGCCTTGGAAAAAGGAAATCGTCATATCCTCTTGTGATTGGCCATATAAGGGTTTCTAGAAGTATGAAAACATAGTCACTTCTTTATTAATCATTTCCTTTTTCCAGTTTATGAATAAAGGGGAAACTTACAAATCGCACAAGAACCCTTTCCCTGGAATAGACACATCTATATTCTTGGGAAATTCAAAGCCTCCAAAGATCATTAGGTCTCATGATCTATCACTTTATGACTGTCAACACTTTTTGCAAGAGGGAGAAGAAAGTAATGGCACTGGGATCAGTAACCTCTCTGGGAGATAAACTAACTCTCCCTCTTTTCTGAACAGGCTAGCACTACATCCAACTCCCAGAAGCCACTGCAGTAGAGTGTGCTCATCAGGACCTCTCAGCTAAAATCTTAATTACCCATGACAATCTGTCAGGATCCACAGGCAGCACAGTCAAGAGTGGGGGGCATGCAGACTCATGATTGGGTATCTACTGGTAACATGGGAAAAGGAAGTTGTTAGTCACCCTAACCACATACTCTGCTTGGGCCTGCTTGGCCGTGTGGTTGAGAATTTTGCTCATCACCTTTGGTGCCATTTGGCTACATTAAGTGCTGATGCAGAAAAGCTAGAGGACTCTAAGAGGTCTGTCCTGATCATAAACAGCTAGAATACATTACCCCTAGCTTCAGACACACATAAATATTGTTTTAGAAATATCTTGGCTACCTTTATTCTATGCTTACAGAACAAGTCACCTTAGCATCCCACCTAACCCTATGGAGGGCTAAAAGGGCTTGCTGGTTCTTCAAGCTGGAAGGCTTCCAACTCAGCCTGGTAAGTCCTTCCTATCTTCTATGCCCACCTTTTACAGAAACCCTACTGCTTTAATGTGCAATAATTCACAGAGTAACTCAGAGTAAGTGTGGAGAACATTCTTCGTTTCTAATCCTACACAATTTCTAACCCAAAAGCGAAATCCTGAAACTAAAATTAAGTCAAACAAGAGAAGTCTGTGTTAACAGTGTGAGTCGAGCCAGGTTTGGTCGCAACAAAGATTAGTGCACAATACGGAATGCCAAGGTGAGGTTGCCTGTACCGGAAGTGACCACAGCGCCCAACCAGCAAGCGTGAGAACAAGGAAGGGAGGGGGCAGAGCAAGCAGGGGAATAAGGGAGGGTTCCTTTGCTGGACAGCTACTCCTGCTGGAGAGCGTGGGCTGGGATGGGAGCAGACCAGGCTAGACAGGGCTACAACACCTGTACACCTCATGTGGACTAGATCAGGGAAAACCCAGGCTGGGCTGATTATTCCTACTGATGCAAACGAAATTAGAGTGGGTGAGGATTTTTTGGGCTTAGCCACAGCATCAGCTGGCAGAAGCTGGCACTGGGGGCTAGTTCTGTCAAGTCAAACCACAGAACTATCTGGAGAGTGCATAATCCGGGAGTGGGAGAGGCCTGGGAGGGAAACAGTGGGCTCCTCCCTCTTGGGTTACCACTTCCACGGAAAGGCATAAAACCAGGACAGGGGTTGGGGTGGAATGGGGTGGGGGACAGACTGGACTATTGCTACACATACTGGCAAACCAGGGTAGGGGGCGGATCTAGTGGGGGTTATTGCGGGTCGCTCCAACTAGGCTGCAGCTCCCACTGGTTTATGTGAGGGCCGAGTATGTGCTGGGTAGAACCAGGATGGACTGCACCACCCATTGGTTCCAGTGGAAGTCGGGAGTGAAAACAGAACCAACCCAGCAATTGCAACCACCAGCTGATTGGGGCAATGGACTGTGCCGCGCCCTGTACTTGCTAGCACATACAAGAATCTGGTTTGAGAACACCTCAGACAAAGTTTCTTTGGAGATGTCCCCAATCAAAATGCTGGACTCAGAACCCTAACCAAGAAAAGAGAGAAGACAGAACAGGTCAACCAACTACCTCAGCCATATCTTGGCAGCGAAATACGGGGCAAACAGAGACTGTATGATGGACTATGTCAATCAGTGGATTCTTCAAAGACCTCATAGTGCTTGGAGTGGCAAGATTGGCAGCGATTCATAACTGTTGAAATATCAAAACCACTCGAGCAAGAACCTCAGAGCATACCCTACATCCGGGACCTTGGGAGGGTGGGAAATTGGGTGGGCCTTCTCCCTTAATACCCTCCTTTAAACATGCAGGAAGCAATATGCAAAAAATAATAGTCTTACCCACTTTCCTGTAGCCCTTGAACCTTTTTACCCTAACTAACTATGTAAGGATTGTCAAAATATAATAATAATAAAAAAAGAGAAGCCTGTGTTAACATGCTTTGTTTGCTTAGAATGTGAACTTCCTGAGGGTATGACTGGGGCATGAATAGTCTAAAGAGACTGGCACAGCATGCTATAAAAGTGAGGGTATCTACAGTGTGGGGGAAGCATCACAGAACTGAACAGCTCAATTCCTAGTCCTCTTAATAATAGTGGGACAAGTTATTTGGTTTCTCTAGGCCTCGTTCCTCATCTGCAAAATAGAGATACTAAGTTATACCTGGTACGACTGTTAGGTAGGGCAAATGGAACACAGGGATGTAAAGGTTCTGCAGATCTTCAAACCCCATAAATGTCAGGGATGACCACTCATAGCAATAACACACCTGTCATCTCCCCTGTGTGAAATTTACATTGAGGTAGAAGTAGAAAATGAGGCCAGGTGCCAGAACCTTGAGCGTAGGAAAGATTCCAGAAGAAGGAATGGAGACGTGTGCTGAGTTTCTTACCCTGTGTTCTGCCAGGAACTCGGGAGTCAGGGTCCAGGGGGCGTTTCTGACCACTTCATCCACATAGCGGCAGTGCTGCACTGCGTCGTAGCGCTCGTTTTCATTCATCACCGTAAAGCCTTTGAAGTTGTGCGTCAGCTCGTCACTGCAGACTGAGTTCACCACATCACAAAGTTGTGAGGTCCCCTTTGCTTAGCCATTCCTCATTGACCAACCTCTCCCAGGTTCTCCCACCTTCTAGGACTGTAACCATCCTCCCCACCTGGAGAAAAATCTAGATGTAGCTCAATCTGGGAACAACTGTTTCTCATCATTCACACACCTGCAACAACACTCAATGAACAGAGTATCTACACTTCGGAGAAGAGCGAGTAAGACAGAGGACTAAGATCCTTGAAATGAGCTGCCAGCACATTCGTGCATTAGTTAAATTTCTAAAAAAATGTTTTATTTTCACAACAGTTGGCTGGCCCACACAGCTTTGGCTTTAGCAGCCTTTCACATCCCAGTGGATTTGAAATGATAAGCTAAAAACTAGAGCAAATGTTATTCTTCAGCAGGCAAAAGGGGCCAGTGTCGCTCTCATGCCTACAGAAACGTAACTGCAAACAGGGTGGCAAATGCTGGGCAGCTCAAGGCAATGCATGACCTTGGAGTTCCTCTCTCCCAGCTTATGTTGCCAGGACTTCCTGTACTTCCTGTTTGATTCTGATACAAGGACTAAGGTACAAGGCAGGAGAGAGCAAGCAATCTCTGTAATCTTCTAAATGGATAACACTTAGAGTCTTTCATATGTTTTCTTACCTCCCACAATGAGGTATGTATTAGGGAAAAGGTTCTTTGCTTGCATCAGAGCCCGGGCATGACCAGAATGAAATAAGTCAAATATTCCATCTGCATAAACTCTCACAGGCCGTTCACCTGAATTCAAATGGAAGAATTTATCATAAAAACATTTCTTAAAGGTTTCATGTCTGACAAATGAAAACGGTACCACGTGACTGTCCTACAGCTGTATCCATCTCAAAGAATTTTCTAAGCTTTCACCCTAATTCTGGGGATGTTTTGGAGTTGTGCACAACATCACATACATCCTTGAATAAAAAAATGTCTTCTTGATTTCCTCTGTACTGTTATATAAAATTTTCCCGGATTAAAAGAATCAAAATGTGATTTTTTAACTTAAAATTATTTTAGAAGTAAAAGGAGTTATTAAAAAGATTTAAGTGTTAAACTTAAAAATCTTCACCTTTAGTTTGATTCTTCAATTATGTTAAAACACAGTACACAGAAACTTCAAAAGATTTGTAGAAAAATGAAATGGACAGCTAAGTTTATTTTGTTGCAAAATTTTGAAGGCTATGAATATTTTTTTTCATAATATACATTTAATGGCATTTTGAAGAGTTCATATATACATGCATTCCAAAAGTTCTTGCACCAAAATAAATTAGTTTTTTTAAAGTACTGATTTATTTGAAAGTCAGAGTGACAAAGAGTAATTGTGACAAAGAGGAAGTGACAAAGAGGAAGAAATATTTCGTCAATTGTTGTACTCCCCAAATGGCCCAAAAAGCCAGAGCTGGGTCAGGCTAAAGCCAGAAACTTGGAACGGCATCCAGGTCCCACACATAGGTGGCTGGCCCCCTGAATTCTGCCATCTTCTGCTTTTCCAAGCACGTTAGCCAGATTAGCAGAGGGCAAGAAGCAGAGCAGTTGATACTCAAACTGGACCTGGGTTCTGATAGAGGGTGCCAGCAATGCAGAGGCTTATCCTGCTGCATCCTAACTCTGGCTCCTAGGTTTATCTTTTAGTTTCATTTCTTCACAAACTTTTTAAAGTACCCTTAAACAATCAAACTCTACTCTGACTACCCTGTCTTCTCTTTGCAAGCTGCCTTAATTACTGATAGTTCAGGCTTTGCTCTGAAGACACTCTCTGCCTTTACCATCTCCCTATTCCCCCGGCCCTGGCACTACAGCCCAGAGAAAGGATGAGTCAGAGAGGGACAAACTGAAAAAGGAGAGCAAGTTCCTAAACTGGCCAGTTACCAACTTACTGCATCTCAGCTCCAGATTTGCCCTCAGTACCTGGTCTAGCATAACAGAACTCCTTGAAGCACTCCTTCCTTTACAGCGTGCATATAGCTTTAATAGAGGTAATATAGCAAATAGTTACAAGTCAAATGCAAATATTTTAGAACTTTTCTTCTCCTCTCCATTGGTGAGAATAATGGAAAACTGGCAATTTATTTTTAGTGACAATGGCCTAAAAAAGATAAGCCAGGAAACGATCTCCTAAGGTGCCAAACTAATTAGCACACTGATAATGAAACTGATAGAATGGTTTAGCATGTTTCATATATTAAATTTAAGCAGTTCAAAACATGCTCCCATGATGTGAATAAAGGAAGAGATACTTCACTGTAGCAGCAGAAAATTGATAGCAGGAGTGTCTACATCCTTCTGGGCACTACAGCCAGAATCTCATCAGTCATTGCTGACTGATGGCAGGGATGGGAACATCTCCCTCCTGTCCTAAGCAAGGAAGAGGAAATTGGTTCCTTGCAGCTTTTAGACTTTTTAAATGGCTTGATCTACAACCATGTAGCTTTTTTATTTTTACCCATGTAGCTTTTAACCATGAATCATACATTGCGAATGGGGATATCATCAATTTTTAAGACAGGCAATTAGGTAACATTTATCAAAGAGAAAATGATAAATGCTTACATTCTGACTCAGCTACAACAATTCCAGGAACTCATCACTGCAACTCTGGCAGCAAAAGTTCAGAGACCATCCAAATTGTAATAGAAGACTGAACTACTATAATATACCATCGACAGGCAGGAGGGTATACAAACTAATTACTTAAATATCCACAAGGAACTGGTAATATAGACTGCCTATAAAAGTGATACCATGTGGTTGTAAGAAAGAAGATAATTCCCTTTATCCTTTTGTACTTTATGGATCTTAAACTATAGGGATGCAATGATTTTATAACAATGGAAATAAACACACTAATATAATAAAAATTGAGATAATATAATGGACTTAAGAAGCAGAAAGTTTGTAGTTTAGGCTTGCCAGATAGCTTTCTCTTAAAGCCTCAGATAATGCATTTTAAAATGATGCAAAAATAAGCTAAAATTTGATCAGTATAGTCCTTTTTTTATCCTAGAAATCATGACCATGATTATGACAAAAGGTAGAAAATAAAATGTATGGATAGGGCCTAGCACGATGACTCAGTGGCTAAATCCTCACCTTGCATGTACTGGAATCCCATATGCGTGCCAGATCGTGTCTCAGCTACTCCACTTCCCATCCAATTTGTTACTTATGGCCTGGTAAAGCAGTGGAGGATGGCCCAAAGCCTTTGGACTCTGCACCCATGTGGGAGACTCAAAAGATGCTTCTGGCTTTGGATCAGCTCAGCTCGGCCATTGCAGCCACTTGGGGAATAAACCAGGGTTTGGAAGATCTTTTCCTCTGTCTCCCCTTCTCTCTGTAAACCTTCCTTTCCAATAAAAATAAATCTTTTTTGTTTTAAAGGTTAAGGATATGTTGCTGTTTCTTTGCTATTAGAGTAGAGCAAGTGTGAGTTCATATGAGGCAGGTGTGGCTCAGGAATCACACTGCCTGGAACATTGTGGAGTGCAGTTTGCCGGGATAGGCAATTACCACATACCAGGCTAAGTACAGCATGGACTCCTCTCTGCCAGGAACCTCAGACACACCTCCTGCCCACTTCAGTGTTTCCCCAGACTCCCAACATTGGAATTCAATGGTTTCAGCCCAAACCTTGGGCGACCTCAGGTTGACTTATCAACTAAATGACCAGAAGAGGCCACTGAACTAGTCTGGGGAGAAAGCAGGCAAGCCATTACTTCACCAAGTGGCTATTAGCCAGGAAAACCAGCCCTGCTCCCTCCCACTTACATAGAGCACATTTTTTAAAGGAACTTCCCTTTACTCTCTAAGATGTCTTAATTTGGATTAGAAATTATACAGTCACATGACTGCTGGCTAAGTAATCACATGTTCTCCTTCGGGTAGAACAAACCAGAGTTTCAATGTATTCTCTCTGGCTACCTTCTCTCAAATATATATTCTCAAAACATCCTGTCCCAAACAGATTATCATGGCCCTGCAGACTCTCCCTTTGTCACCCTTTCTCTGAGTGAAATATATTGTTGATTTTTTTTTTCACTTTCCAAAAGATTTCTAAAACTGATTTTCTCATCTCTGGAGTCTTACTTTTCCCGGTGGATAGAAAATTTTCTCCTAATTATGCAAATATTCCCCTTGAACTTGCTTAACCTCCCTTGTGAAAATCTGGAGAGTAGGAGGGGTGAACTTGTTACTGCTTAAAGTCACTAACTGGGCCCAGCATCGTAGCCTAGCAGCTAAAGTCTTTACCTTATATGCGCCAATATCTCATATGGGTACCAGTTCTAATCCCGATGGTCTTGCTTTCCATCCAGCTCCCTGCTTGTGGCTGGGAAAGCAGTCGAGGACGGCCGAAAGCCTTGGGACCCTGTACCTGCAATGGGAGACCCTGGGAAGAAGCTCCTGGCTCCTGGCTTCAGATCGGCTCAGCTCTGGCCTTTGCAGCCACCCAGCAAGTGAATCAAGGAACAGAAAATCTTCCTGTCTCTCCTCTCCTCTGTATATCTGACTTCCCAATAAAAATAAATAAATAAAAATTTTAAAAAAGGAATAGTTGATAGATAGAATGGGATGCTGGAAATAATGGGAAAGCAACAAAATAAGTTGGTATGTACTTACAAGGAGTTCCTTTGCTGGCTTCTTCCATAGTTACCCTGACATACGGTTTACTTAAGTCAACTTCAATTTCATCAGAAAAAGGAGCTGGCTGCCGTAAACCCTTAAGAAGCAGAAAAGAAAGAAATAAAAGTTAAACACACACCAATCGAGGTTTTGCCTAGCAATGTAAGATTGGTTTAATATTCTAAAATCAAATATACCACAAGTAGCAGGATTTCCACTAAACCAGTCTTCTGTTGCTTTAAAAAAAAATCGAAGTATGTAATGGCACTGGTGTGGTGGCTCAACAGACTCATCTTCTACATGCTAATGCCAACATCTCTTATGAGAGTGAGTTCATGTTCCAGCTGTCCTACTTCCAATCCAGTTCCAGGCCTGTGGCCTGGGAAAACAGTCGAGGACGGTCCAAAGCTTTGGGACCCTGCACCCGCGTGGGAGACCCAGAAGAGGCTCCCAGCTCCTGGCTTCAGATTGGCTCAGACCTGGCCATTGCGGCTGCTTGGGGAGTGAATCATCAGATGGAAGATCTCCCTCTCCATCTCTCCTCCTTTCTATATATTTGCCTTTCCAATAAAAATAAATAAATCTTTTTTAAAAAAATAAATCTTTTAAAAACATAAGAAATGTCTGGCTTTAGAACTTCCTCCCCAAGTAGCTACAAAAGCTGGAGCTAAGCCAATCCAAAGCCAGGAGCCAGAAGTTTCCTCCAGGTCTCTCACATGGGCACAGAATCCCAAGGCTTTGGGCCATTCCCTGCTGCTTTCCCAGGCCACAGGCAGGGAGGTGGATGAGAACTGGAGCAGCTGGACACAAATTGGTACCCATATGGGGTCCTGACACATGCAAGGTGAGGATTTAGCCACTGAGCCAGGCCCCACGATTTTTTTAAATTTTTAAAGGTCAACTGAATAGGTTCAGAAAGAGAAACAAAGAACTAACAGCAGTTGTAAAAGAAGTAGAGATAGTCTACATTCAATAGAAGGAAAAAAGTGAAGAGCTCAGGAGAGAAAGGAATTTAGACAGTCCTCTGAAAATTTTAAAATGGGAAACAAGTTTGAGAAAGGATGCTCAACTTCGGTCTTCAAGGAAATACAAAAGAAAATCAGAATAATCAGCAATGTGACAAGTGAAGCGTCTCCAGGTGACCCAGCACTCTGCTTCTGACCCAGCTTCCCCCGATGCGCCCCAGAACACTGCAGATGACTACTCAAGTGCATGGGTCCCTGTCACACACAGGGGGACTGACATGGAATTCTGGGCTCCTGGCTTCAGCCTGAACAAGTGTTTGCTGTTGCAGGCACTCAGGAAGTGAACAAGGAATGTAAGATTCTCTCTCTCTTTCTGTGTGTGTGTATAACTGTCTCTAGCTCTCAGTCTCTCTCTCTCTCTGGCACTCTGCCTTCAAGTAGAGGAAGGAAAATATCTTGGAGAGGCAAGGGTAATGGAAAAAGAAGACTAGAATTCTACCCGAGTCTATCTGTGTGACTGGAGCATAAGTTCGCTCTTAAAAGGTCTCCAAATGGTTATGAAAGAAAAAGCTATGTTCATGTTTGGCCATGCAGCTATTTATTCCCCATTCTTTCCTCCTTTCAGTGTATTGTATCCAAATGTTTAAAAGTCCATTTCTTCTTTTCTTCCCTTGCTGCTGCTAACCACGAAGTGGAAAGAAGTGACATATGTGATGCATTAAAAAAAAACAAAACACACAAACACACACAAAAAAAAGAAAATTTCTTTTCTTTCTAGAAAAAAAGACCCAGGATGAGCTATGAGCTGTGAGCTACCACGTCACACCTACTAAGATAGCTATAAACACAAAGACAGGCACATACTAACTTTGCTACTATGAACATAAAACGACACACAGCTTTGAAAAATAGTTCCTCAGAATGTTAAAAACAGAATTACCAAATGAGCTACAATTTATACGCCTAGGTATATGCCCAAGTAAATTTAAAACACTCAATGGGCCCAGTGCAGTAGCCTAGTGGCTAAAATCCTCACCTTGCTCACGCTATGATCCCATATGGGTGTTGGTTCTAGTCCCAGCAGCCCTGCTTCCCATCCAGCTCCCTGCTTGTGGCCTGGGAAGACAGTCAAGATCGGTCCAAAGCCTTGGGAACCTGCACTCATGTGGGAAACTCAGAGAAGGCTCTAGGCTCCTGGCTTCGGATTGGCTCAGCTCCGGCTGTTGCAGCTGCTTTGGGAGTGAATCAATGGACATGGAGATTCTCCGCTGTCTCTCCTCCTCCCTATATATCTGACTTTGCAATAAAAATAAATAAATCTTAAAAAAAAAAGACACTTAAAACCTTTTAGTACATTAAAAAAAAGTTCATGTTGCATAATTCACAATAGCTAAGAAGCAGAAACATCCCAAACATTCACCAAAAGATGAATGAACAAAACAGTAAGTCTATACATTGAAACATAATCACCTATGAAAGGAATAAAGCGCTGGCACATAGTACTGTGTAAACAGGCTTTGAAAGCCTGATGCAAAGAGGTCAGACACATATGTTATGGATACATTTACATGATATGGGTACAATAGGTAAATCCATAGAGACAGGAAGGATATCATGGTCACCAGGGGACAGAACAAGCAGTAACGAGGAGGGGTTGCTAAATGAGGACGGGGGATTTCTTCTTGAGACAATGAAATGTTAAAACATTAAATAACTGGCCCTGGCTTGGTAGCCTAGTAGCTAAAGTCCTTGCTTTGCACGCGCCAGGATCCCATATGGGTGCTGGTTCTAATCCCAGCAGTCCCATCCGGCTCCCTGCTTGTGGCCTGGAAAAGCAGTCAAGGATGGCCCTACGTCTTGGTACCCTGCACCTGCGTGGGAGACCCAGAAGGAGCTCCTGGCTTCAGACTGGCTCAGACACGGCTGTTGCGGCCACCTGGAGTGTGAATCAACAGACGGAAGACCTTCCCCTATGTTTCTCCTCCTCCCTGTATATTTCAGTTTCCAATAAAAATAAATAAATCTTTTAAAAAAGGTTTTAAAAAATTAATCATGATAGATGCACAATCATGTGAATGTCACTGAACTGTATGTTTAAAAATGGTGAATAGGGCCTGGCGCGGTGGCGCAAGTGGTTAAAGGTCCTCGCCTTGCACGCCCGGGATCCCATATGGGCGCCAGTTCTAATCCCGGCAGCCCCGCTTCCCTTCCAGCTCCCTGCCTGTGGCCTGGGAAGGCAGTCGAGGACGGCCCAAAGCTTTGGGAACCTGCACCCACGTGGGAGACCCGGAAGAGGCTCCTGGCTTCGGATCGGCATAGTATCGGCTGTTGCGCTCACTTGGGGAGTGAGTCATCGGACGGAAGATCTTCCTCTCTGTCTCTCCTCTCTGTATATCCGCCTTTCCAATGAAAAAATAATAAAAATAAATCTTTTAAAAAAAATGGTGAATATTATGTTATTATACAATTTTTTCCCAATTTAAAAAATGCATTAAATAACCTTTCACAACTCTGTTTCTGTCATCTTCTTCATATACAGTGTACCTAAGCAGAGGTCAAATGCAGCTCTCCTCACTGAGCAGGCCTTATGCTGAGTCAATTTCTCCTACGTACAGAGAATGAAATCCAAGTTTCTATAATTACAACAGATCAGCAAAATCTTGATCTTTCCAGGGCTGTCTCCAGATAGAATGACAGGTAGTTTTTTTTCAAACTCTGATATTTTCTTCTCGGTTGGAGTATGGTGCTTCTAGAAGCTGAGGTTTATAGGGCTAAGTACTTCCTGAAGCATTGCTCCATTTCAATGTCAAGAGAATCCTGCTGTATTGTTCTCAAGGCTTTTGACTTCCAAGTAGTGAGGCAGGCAAAGGGAAAAACCTAGGACTAAGTTTTAGCTTACTTAATAGCTACAAAATCACAGCAAACTTCTAAAATGGCACAGTAACACCTGCCCCACAAGTTTACTATTCAGGATTAAATAAAATTGTGTCTCTGAAGTAACTAGAATAATATTTTACATATAGTTTGTTATTAGCATCCCTCTTACAGGGACCCCAAGTTTCACCATGCTAACAAAGCTAGCTAAATTGAATTGATCCAAGGGGTGAGTGTGTTTGTTTTTGTTTGTTTGTTTGTTTGTTTGTTTGTTTTTTACAGATGTATTTAGTTTTATTTGGAAGGCAGATTTTACAGTGTAAGAATGGTAAGATATCTTTCTGTACTGGCTTACTCCCACATGGCTGCACTAGTCAGAGCTGAGCTGATCTGAAGCCAGCTTCTTCCACGTCTCCCACATGAGTGCAGGGTCCCAAGGAGCTGAGCTATCCTCTGCTGCTTTCACAGGCCATAACCAGGGAGCTGTATGGGATATGGAGCAGCCAGTGATGTATCTGGAGGATTAGCCTGCTCACTACTGCACCTTAGGTGTTAGCTTCTAAATGCTATGGGAAATTTTTTAATCTATGCATCTAAAAATTGTAATAACAACAAGTCACATTCTCAAAATTATGAATTGTCTCTTAGTGCAATATTGCTTTCAAAACAACTTTTACTAGTTATACTGACACGTATTAACTCACTATTTCTGAAAATTCCAGTGAAAGAGAAGAGGAAATTCTGGAGAAATGGATATAAGTCAAATCATAAGACACTAGAACTCGATATTAGCTTCTTGGTAATCTTTCTATTTTCCAAGATTCCTGAATGCTTTTCACCAAAAACATCCTGAATGCACAATGAAATATTTTCCTTTTATTCTGCATAAATGTTAATGGGTCTTCCAGGGATCCCAATTCTTTCAATAACACCAGGAAAATGGTTATGGAGTCAGAATGAATAAATATTATATGGTATGAGAAAGAAGAGGTAATAAATAGAGCAGAAGATTCTGTAACCGCACCCCACCAGGGATTTGCTTAGAAAGAAAAAACCAAAAAAACTTCCTCCTATTTCATTATTTACACTGCTGAAGTGTAAATAATGAGCCCATCTGTCCAATTACTATTCGGATGCTTTGTAGGCCTTCTAAACTGTACACCAAATTCAATTATTTGTCTTCCTCTAGCTTTGTTTCTGTGCTTCAGAGAGCTCTCATGTGCTGACAGTCTCCCCAAATGCCTGCAAGGGCAGAGGCTGAGCAGTGATCAAGCCGGGAGCCAGGAACTCAAACCTAAGTTTCGTATGTGGGTGCCAAGGACCCAATTACTCCCAGAGAATCCTTGGAGAGCAGAAAGAAGAGTACTCTCCCTGGGCAGGGGCCACAGTCTGCCAGGGTCAGTGTTAAACAGAAGCTGGAGTCAGGAGCCAGAGTGCCTATTCAAGTCCAGATATTCAAATGTGGGACACAAGCATTTTAACCTAGCATCTTAACCAAGAGAATAAATGCCCACCCTCCTACATTTCTTACATCCAAAAAAAAAAAAAAAAGGCACCATGCATTTCTAACACCTACCTAAGCTGAAATCTAAGTCACCCTTAGTATTTCTGATCTCTATTTCCCAAATATCTCCCAATGGTCTATTTTACCTCTTAGAATTTTTAAAATTTTTATACTCCTATATCTACTGTGGAAGCTTAAGTCCTCTTCATTTCCAACCTAAATAACCATAGCAGTCTCCTAACTAGTCTGACTTAAAACAATCAGAATGATCTCCCTAAATCTGACCATATTATCTATAACGATAAAGTTCAAACTCCTTAGCACAGCATACAAGATCCTGTGATTAGGTCCTTGCTTTCTTCGTTCTTGGCAAATCCTTATTCTGAACTTAAAACTCTACCAGTATTATTTGCAGTTTGCCACAGATACTATTACCCTGCACTCCCACGTTTCTGAACTCTATCTCTTGTCCATTCACTGAATTCTTACCCTTCCAAGTTCAGCTTGGAAACAACCTGCTGGATGACGCTCTTTCCAAACCACGACCCTACCCTTGGTCACAGTCAATCTCCTGATTCTCTACACCCTCACTGTACCTCTAATTTCCTTCTGCTTAACATGTTTCATATTATATCATTAATTATTTGTTGTTATCTCTTTCCTCTATTTGTCTGTCAGCTTCTAACAGCAAAGCATCTTTTCATCTGCCTATCTCCAGTGCATAGCAACTGGCTTACAGGAGTTCTCGATATATGTTAGTTGGAAAAAAAAATAATAATAATATGAGATCTGGTTGGCAGAACGGCTACTTTTCCCAAGACTTAGGGACTTCTGTGACTCACCTGTTCATGTAATAAATATTAACATAGGCTAAATGTCTTACTAAATGTTTCTATGTTTCTTTGATGATGCAATTAGAAAATCCGTGTTAGTAAATTATTTATGGATAAAGTAGTCATACGTTATTTCTTCATTTTTCCATCTTAACTCCTTTCTTTCTTTCCACTATCCCCTTCATTCTGATTCACCATGCCAGTTACACAAAAGACCACATGTAGTATGAAATCACTTGGAGGTAATATCCAAACTAAGCAGATTTACAGAGACAGAGATCAGTGGTTTCCGAAAGGCTGCCTGGGGATGAGGTGTTGTGGGAAAATGAGAGGGATTGCTAAATGGATGCATGGCCACCTTGGGGGTAGTAAAAATATCCTAAAATATTTTGTAGTGGTGATTATACAGGCATACATATATTAAAAATCATCTAATTGTGGCAGGTTAAGGCACTGTCTTGCAACACTGACATCCCATATGTGAGTCATGGCTGCTCTACTTCCAATCCAACTCCCTGTTGCTGCATATAGGAAGGCAGAAGAAATTGGCCCAAGTAGTAACTTTGATTGTATCTAAGTGCTCTTTGATATGTATTTTAGGAAAACTTTAAGACAACAAACAGAAAAAAGACAGGCAGTATAGAATGGAAACTTTCACTTAAAGCATCGCACGAAGTACGAAGATAATATCCTAGGAGTTAAAGCAGGTAGCAATGAAGCAGGTTCTTACCTATGATAGACACTCAACACAGACAAAAGAAAATACCAAGAGCAAAGCACTGGCTGGAGTCCAATTTCTCCATTTCATTAGTTTCAACCTGATCTTCAGTCTAACATACACAAAAATTACAAATTTTCCTAACATTCTTTTTTTCCTAATTCTAATGTAAAAGCTCCTAAAACTGAACTGTGGAATTCCTGAAGTGGTAAGAAAGACCAGAATTTCCACAGATAAAATGACTACTCACACTTTCCATTCTTTCCACTATTTTAAAAAACTGTAACACCACAATTGCCAATACCATATCTGGTTTTTTTCCCCTCTGTCTGCCAGGTTAACACTCTTATAAGGAAGCTGCTTCTTTACTTACCACTGCACAGCGTTGTACTTTGGAAGGAATTCCATCTTCCTCTGTTGCCCCGTTGGGTCCAAGCGCTTCTTTCCTCCTCTTCCTTGCATTGATTTTGGCTGAACTCTGCACATCCATTTTCTTTTAACTGGTCACAGAAAGTGAGAAATAACTGCTTTACTCATTAGGCTGCGAAAAAGCATGTCACCAGTGTTCAATGACCCTAAAATACTGCCCAAAACATTACTTCCATAGCATACATGACACTAAGATGAGCCAATGGCATCTGCAAAAGCCACACGCTTCACAAAACACCAGGTAGGAGCATCAGAACGCCTCTCTGGGGAACAACAGCTACAATTAACTGCCTGATCTTGGAAAGTAGTACCCCTGACAAAGGAACCTATATTCTAACTGATGATTTCATATCTTGGCTATCTGCAAAAGATTAGAACAAGGGCAAATATACCTTAATGGAAATACTTGGGCCCAGAACTGTTAGGTTTCAGAACTTTTCAGATGGTGGAATACTTGCCTAGACTTTACTGACTGAATATCCTTAATTCAAATATTTCTAATTCAAAATTCTCCAAAATCTGACACCTTTTGAAGAGATTACAGATATTCAAACTGTACAGACTGCCAGCGATCCTTAGGTCATTTCTGAGAAGGTAGGTCCAAGGCAACGTGAAAGGTGTGACTCAAGCCTTGTTTAACTGGGATACCTATCAACAAATCCTGCTTTAACAAGGAATGAGGTTTCTTAACAGCAAATGCCCTGAAAATTTCAAGAACCACAACCACCAGGGCGAGCTCTGAAATCTGTGGAGTAGAGGCCCGGCGTGGCCTAGCAGCTAAAGTCCTCGCCTTAAACGCGCTGGAATCCCATATGGATGCCAGTTCTAATCCCAGCAGCTTCACTTCCCACCAAGCTCCCTGCTTGTGGCCTGGGAAAGCAGCTGAAGACGGCCCAAAGCCTTGGGATCTTGCACCCACATGGGAGATCCAGAAGAGCTCCTGGCTCCTGGCTTTGGATCGACGCAGCTCCGTCTGTTGCGCTCACTTGGGGAGTGAATCATCGGATGGAAGATCTTCCTCTCTGTCTCTCCTTCTCTCTGTATATCTGACTTTCCAATAAAAATAAATCTTAAAAAAGAAAAAGAAATCCGGGCCCGGCACGGTGGCGCAAGTGGTTAAAGGTCCTCGCCTCACACGCCCGGGATCCCATATGAGCGCCGGTTCTAATCCCGGCAGCCCTGCTTCCCTTCCAGCTCCCTGTCTGTGGCCTGGGAAAGCAGTCAAGGACGGCCCAAAGCTTTGGGACCCTGCACCCGCGTGGGAGACCCGGAAGAGGCTCCTGGCTTCGGATCGGCATAGCATCGGCCCGTTGCGCTCACTTGGGGAGTGAATCATTGGGCGGAAGATCTTCCTCTCTGTCTCTCCTCTCTGTATATCCGCCTTTCCAATAAAAAAAAAATAATAATAAAGAAATAAATCTTTAAAAAAAAAAAAAAAAAGAAATCCGACCTAATTCCTAGATAATGAAGGTAACTCCCCATGAGTCACAGCCAAGCAGTAGGCTGACTTGAAAAACATGTCAGTTCAAAGTGAGAGATGAATCCTACCCAGAAACTTTCCAACACAAGCGCAAACAAAAATGGAAGAAGGTCACTATATACATTTAACACCAGTTGTAGTTCTTCCAGGGCAATGACCAGAGCTATTCTCTCTATGATCATTCATTCTTTCAAAATACCCAGAGTACTAAGAGTGTCTAATGCTCAGAATGTCCAATCAGTCCAATTGATGACAGCTAATAATTTGCATTACAGAACTTCTCTAAGTGTCCATTAAATTCTTCCCAGGATAGGAAGATGAAAAAACCCACTGCTGGATATTTAAATCAGCAACTTGGTATCGGACAAATCCAGATCAGGTGGTCAATTATGGAAGCACTTACTGTATCCAAAACATTACAGCTTTCTAAGCTATAAATGAAATCTGGAGAACATTCTGCTGAGGAAAACAAGCCAGGCACAGAAAGATAAACATGGCATGATCTTACTTACATGAAGAATCTAAAAAAGCTGAACTCACAGAAATAGATTAAAAGGCTGGTTAGCAAAGGCTGGGGCAGAGGACTGAGTGAGGGTGGGGAGACATTGATCGGTTAGACAGGAGAGCTACATAGTGATGTGTTGTACAAAACGCCAACAATAATGCACTTTGTAGTTCAAAACTGCTTTTAAAAAGGTATCTCTCTCTCTTTTTTTAAGATTTATTTATTTTTATCGGAAAGGCAGATATACAGAGAGGAGGAGAGACGGAGAGGAAGATCTTCCATCCGATGATTCACTCCCTAAGTGAGCGCCACAGCTGGTGCTGCGTTGATCCAAAGCCAGGAGCCAGGAGTTCTTCTGGATCTCCCATGTGGGTGCAGGGTCCCAAGGCTTTGGGCCGTCTTCAGCTGCTTTCCCAGGCCACAAGCAGGGAGCTGGGTGGGAAGTGAAGCTGCCGGAATTAGAACCGGCGCCCATATGGGATCCCGGCGCGTTCAAGATGAGGACCTTAACCATTACGCTATCACACCGGGCCCAAAAAAGGTGTATCTTTAACACATTCATTACAAAGAATAAACACACAAGGTAACAACTTTATTTAACTTCACAGTGTAAATAACTATCAAAAATATGACATCTTACCCCATAAATACATGTCATTTCTATTTGCCAGTTAAAAATTAAGCAATGAATTATTTTCACAAAGAACCTTTAAGCAAGGCCAGGAAACCACCCACAAAGCCCACATTTTAAAATACTTATGACATAAAGTGCTTGTATTCTAGATCCCCTGGGCAAAAGTTTGCTGATGTAAGAGATATATATATAGTTCCAAAGTATCTCCCCATAGATTATACAGTAATTATAAAGGGAAATGAGTTACCTGGATAATGGAAAAATCTTTGATGAGGAGCAACGAGGACACAACATTATGTGCCAAAAATATGTAACCTGCATTGATTTGTGAGGAAACAAGCAGACAAATCCGAACTAACAGACATTCCACAACAAGCCCATTTTCTGCAAAATACCTCAATCACAGAAAACACTGAATGGCTGAAAGACTGCTCCAGGTTGGAAAGGACCCAAGGGAGGACATCTAAACGTAACGTATGATTCCAGATTTGGGAGAAATCATTATGAAGAAAGGATAGCTACCCAAGACAACCAATAACATCTGAAGACGGACTGTGTGTCAGACAATGGGCACCAACACTAAACTTCCTGTCCTAACCACACTGCTGTTTGAAAGGCTGTCCTTGGTTACAGCAGATAATGTGCTGAAGCATCTAGAGACAAAAGGTCATGATCTCTGTAGCTTACTCAGGAAAAAGAGAGGGAGTGGGAGGAACAGATATATCACATATAAAAAAAGGTAAAGAAAATGTGGCAAGATGCTGTCAACACGTGAATCCGTAACTGTTTTCCCAGGCCACAAGCAGGGAGCTGGATGGGAAGTGGAACAGCCAGGACACAAACTTGCGCCCGTATGAGATCATAGCGTGAGCAAGGTGAGGACTTTAGCCACTAGGCTACCATGTTGGACCCTGACAACTTTCTATAATGTAATTTTAAATTTTTTTCCAAAATAAAAGTTTATTATAAAAATACTCACAACATTTTCCTAGATGGATAGGCCCTTGCAAATGATTGTCTATTGAAGTTTTCAGAAACAAGATTTTTGGGAGATGAATTGGAGAGACAGCTCAATTAGCTAATCCTCCACCTTACAAACACCAGGATCCCATATGAGTGCCAGTTTGTGTCCTGGCTGCTCCACTTTCCATCCAGTTCCCTGCTTGTGGTCTGGGAAAGCAGTCGAGGACAGTCCAAGGTCTTGGGACACTGCACCCATATGCAAGACTTGGAAGAGGTTCCTGGCTCCTGGCTTTGGATCGGATCAGATCATGCTGTTGCAGCCACTTGGGTGTGAGCCAGAGGACAAAAGATCCTTCTCTCTGTTCTCCCTCTCCTGTAAATCTGCCTTTACAATAGAAATGAATAAATCTTTTAAAAGAGAGAGACAGATTTCCTCTCCTTTGGCTTTGAATAACATATACCCTAAGAAGTACGGTTTGGTAAGCTAAGAGTCTTACAAGAAGTAAGATAATAAAAGCAACACTTCTAACAACAGCTTTGTTTTTGAATGTTTACCATATGCCAGGTACCAGAGAAGGCATTTTATGACATTAACCCCATGTAACCCTTAAAACCTCAGAGGCAGATATGATTAGCTCTACTGACAAATGAGAAAAGTAAGGATGAGAGAAGCTAACCTACACAAGAGACAGAACAGCTAGCTGGGAAAGTGGGAGGGACAGGGTTTAAATCTAGAACTGTCTAAAATTAAAGACCTAATCACTATATTTTTATGTTTCTCAGAGATCCAAGATTTTTTAGAAGGTATTTTCCACCATTACTGTGCCTCCTTCTATCAGAAACACACTCTCTCTGGCATGGCTTTCTTAAGTGTTTTCAGACTCAGGCCGGCCAGTCTAACTAAACAGTAGAGTAAAAAGTCATGGTTGGGCCAGTGTCGTGGTGTAGTGAACAAAGCCACTGCCTGCAATGCCAGCAACCCATATAGGTGCCTGTTTAAATCCTGTCTGCTCCAATTCCAATTTGGGAAAGCAACAGAAAATGGCCCAATTATTGGGGCCCTTGCCTCCCCTAGGGGAATCCTAAAAGCTCCTGACTCCTGGCTTCAGCCTAGCCCAACACTGGCTATACCAATCATTTGAGGACTAAACAAGAAGGAAAGGCTGACTCTCCTACTTTAACTCTACTTTTCAAATAAACAAATAACTTTTAAAAAAATCAAACTGACAAAGTTTGGCCTGATTTAGTCAGCAGATGCCAGTCAGACAGCTGTGCAGATATACAGATCGGGTTCCTACTGGGTGACTGTGTTAGCATTTCCCAATAAACTTCCACATTAAGTAATCAAGAATTTCATCTCTCTTCCTGCCTCTTCTGACACTGCGATAGGTAGCATTTAAAAAATCTTGTATTTTTCACTTGTAACACAAAACAACTTTTCAGAATACCATAATAAATCAAGTGGATATCATGTTTTCCCCAGTTACTTAATATCTCAAATTGATGTTAAAGTCTCCAAATGACTTACAGAAAGACATTTAACACATCCACAGACACATTTACTGGGG